CACGAAAATTTACATGCACATGCTCCAAGTTAGCGGGACAGCCAAGACAGACTTTGCATTTCCCAACACCCATCGATAGTGGAAATAATCGATTTTTTCATGCTTCTACGGCAGTTTTCATGTAGTTTGCAGTCATTTTGTACTGGCCAGAATGAGAGCCTATAGCTGGCTGCCACGAATGTGCAGGAAGATTCTATAGGCCAGCGTGAGAGCCAACAGCTGACTGACACGAATGTTAACTAGCATACTAGCATGCAAAAAAAAAAAAAAAATCGATAGCTGCATTCGTCACGAGTGGGGAAAATTTAAATCTGCATGGCACTTTCCTCCAATTGGCTCATTCGCTTGCTTAAACTCAACGTTGATTCTGATTCCGCAGAACTGGGCTGGGTGTGAAAAAGTATTTGTTGTTAACATTTTTTTTTCATTCGGTTTTTCTTGTTACGAGTCCTTTTTTAAAGCTGATCGTTTTGTGTTCATTTTGTTTAGTTCTTTTTTCGTAACAGATTTAATGTTTAGTATACAGCTTAGAAAAATTTGCAGTGTGAGGCAAGAAGTATGGCATGTAGCAACAGCAGCACGGCAAAGGGCACTCCTTTAAAGGCAACGAAGGGCAAAAAAATATAATATATATATATATATATATATATATATATATATATATATATATATATATATATATATATATATATATATATATATATATATATATATATATATATAGAACGTTCGCTTTCTGACTATGAGACCCGGGTTCGAATCTCACCATGATCGATTTGTCAGGAAGGAGACTTCCTGATGATATCGGAATGGATCGAGGTCGATCCCAGCGTGCGGCACTTTTGGAAAGTACGTGAAAACTCTACCACGGGTTGACCCAAGCCTTGTGAGTGAAATTGTGTAGGTGGAACACTTGGGGGCCGTCGATAGCTGCGCACATTATATTTAGTAAGTATCTGAGCAGACATTACTATATTTTAAACATTGACATTCATGTCTATCGGTAGAAATCGAAAAATAAATGCTTGTTGTGTAGCACATTTTCTTTCGCTCTCTAAGCCGTTGGATACTAATTTCATTGTATGCAAACACGTGTACCCACTAAATCTAATGTTTGTTGCAATCACGCACACACACACACACACACCTATATATATATATATATATAATTATTTATTTAGAAAATTTATAACAAACATGTTATAAAATCACTACAAAAATAGCCATTTTGTTTCAACACTAAATGTCCGCTTAGGTACATTTGTGTTTCTCCAACACCCACATAGCTCACCTGTGGTTTATATTACAAATATACTGAACAGACTTTAGTTACAATTTATGTGAGAGAGTGTGTCATCAGACACAGTCAACAGTCTGAACAAGAACAGTATGCTCAAACACTCGGGCATGATGACTTGTGAGGTTGTGCTACCACAACTGAACAATTTTGTCTACCGCACACAATGATTATCAAGAAGTCAACTCCCTGACAAATCGACAATGGTGATACTCGAACCCGGGTTTTATAATCATAATGCTGACATTCTAACCCATCGAACATGTGCCTATAATAATAACAACACGCGCCTGTTATAATAAAAAAAAAACATCAATGGAGTCGTAGGTTGGCTGCTGTTGAGATTATAGAGACGTTGTGAACTCCATTATCTGGTTGACGCCTTTATAATAGCATGTGTTACGCCATGTCTACATACAGTAGACACATTCAATTCAGAGTTGTCCTAGAATAGTTGCCAACTATGTTTAGAGAGTAAACGTCCTGATTTATTTATTTTTTTCATTAAACAGTCTCTCTTACGACTATTGGCCTGCACACTCGAGAACATTTAATAAAAAAAAAGTTCTCTCCGTCAGAATTCGAATCAGTGCCCCCTCTTGTAGGAGAGGCCACAGTCTGATCCGGTGTATTTCAAACTGATCTTATTATCCCGTAATGCTCTCTGTGGCCGAGCGGACTGGATCAGACGAGAGTTTCTCCTGCAAGGTAGGACGCAGGTTCGAACCATGACAGAGGATTTTTTTTTAACATTATCTTAAGTTTTCTCGAGTGGGTAGACATACTGTTACCCCCCTCAAAACCAAAACAAAACAAAACGGGTGACGACTACTTAAAGAAGAGTATCTACTAAAAAATTGAGTTCGAAATAACAACAACAACAATAATAATAATAATAATAATAATAATATATGAGCAAACACACACGCGCAGGGAATGAGAACGGGAAGGCTGAGAACTGCATCGACCAAGATATGATGTCTAAAACAACAAAGATGGGGATAGTTGTGTAAAGGAATTGCGATGAACTCTTCATTACTTCAGAAATTCCAGATGATCAGGAATTAGAATTGTTAAGCATCGCGAATAATGGAATGGGTAGAAACTGCTTTATGTTAATCTTCGCAGAGATAAGCTGGAGAAAGGCATGAATCCATTTCTCCCAGTGTAATGTCTTCTTGCCAAGATAGCTCAACAAAAAAAAAAAAAATCTCGTCATTAACAAGCCACGAAACTTGTGAAGAAGAAAATATGCGAGTGAATATTTGGGCAAACTTCCATTTCCTGCCCGGATAATCAAAAAAAGAAAGAAAAAAAATAGAAAGTAAAAAAAAAAAAAAAATAAATAAATAAATAAATGAAAAAGCTGTTACACTCATAGTCAACCTTGACAAGGAATTTTTTTTTTTATGTTGTCGATTTAGAAGAAAAAGTCAAATTTAATTTTATTTATGGTTTGAGGAAGTTTGTGTCCGTCCTTAAATGGGTTAACTTAAAAAAAAATACTTTCCTTTAATTTTTTATTTAATTTAATAAAAATTCTGATGTCCGTCCAACCTGAAAAAAAAAAAAAAAAAAAAATCAGTGGTCATTTTTTTTACTTATAATTACATTTTTTGATCCGAGTAAATATTTTTGACAGCTTCAATATTTTTTTCAATGAAAAAAAAAAAAGAAAAAGAAAGATAAACAAAAAAAAAAAGAACACCTCCAAAAACCTTCACTTGAAACTTTTCCTCTCCACAACAAAACATTGAGTTGAAATAACGTCATTGTTCATATGTTAGGTCACGTGACCTTATTTGCCGGGAATACTTGCTTGGCTTGTGGGCTTTTTGGCACTTTCCTAGCGATTTTCGAACTTGTCCCTACTCTTGGGAAAATTTATTTGGCAACGGGTGTGGGGTGGTTCTTTTATTTTATTTTTCTAAGTGTATATTTTCTACTTTCAACAATGATTAATTAACTGCTGTCAAAAAGTTTTTATTTTAACAAAAAATGTTCTGAAATATGAGACACACAAAAAATGCTGTTGCGGGCTTCCTTGTTCGAAAGCCGACAAAAAGAAGAGAAAGAATAAAGAGAGGAGAAAAAGTATATATATATATATATATATATATATATACACACACACACACACACACACACACACACACAGTGGAAGAAGAATAGTAAGGAAAACGAATGAAGAGAGGGTGTAAGAATAAGAGAGAGTCAAAGAAGTGGAGAGTGGAGAGAAAGAGGGAAAAAAGAGAAGGGAAGTGAGAGAAAGGCAGGGGTTGGAATTAGGCCGATTAGAAAGAAATGAAGCCGATGAAAGAGTGGGAGGAAATGATGATTCCATAGAGAAAAAAAAACTATAGTTCTATAGATATAAATGCGTAAAGGAAGGAGGAGGAGGAGGAGGAGGAGGAGAAGGAAATGAATGTAGCAGTTAGAGTAGGAATAGTAGTAGTAATTGTCGCAATAATTTTGATAGCAGTAGTAGTGGTAGTAATTATTCTAAAACATCATGCTTGTAAATGTAAATAGTAGTTGCAGTAGTTGTGTTGATGCTAGTAATAATAGTTGTGTAGTATTTAGCGACATCGTGGTACTGCGGATACACAGTCACGAAGACAAGACTGACCGTTATAGAGGAAGGGGTATA